TCTTTATTTTTTGGCTTTTAAAAATCAGGAAATTTTCTTGGATTTCCATACTTCTCTTTTCACTTGCCTCTGACTTACCACACTGGTTTGTTCTCTTTCACAGCAGCATGATCACTGCTCTGGTCATTTTCAGGGGAGGTAGTTGGAAGGTTAGGATCCGGAGGAAACATAACAAAAAGGAAGAGAGAAAAAAACACACACACACACAAAACCTTCATTTGGCCAGATCTGGCTCCTAATACATTTAACCAATTCCAGAATTAGAAAGCCTTTTCTGTACATTTTCTTCTATTTTGCTCTCTTTTTTCCCCCTTACATAATGAAATTAAAACTTTTGGAGCCCACAGTTGACATTTTTCAGAAAATTGAGTTATCAAGGCAGTAATTATTTCACAGGGAGATAAAACTCTCATAGCCCCAACTGTCAAATAGGGCCCTTTTCAGATTTTAATTACAAAATAAAATTAGTCTGCTCTTCCTCAGAATGGTTTGTGAGTGGTTAAACAGAGCTTTCCCCCCCAATACTGGTGGTCGTCGTCAAACTCTGCTAATTAGCAATGCTGAGAAATTCCAGTTAACAAGGACATTCTCCAGGACTCTGCAGGTTCCCTGCCGTTTGCCTTCATTTCCATAAGAAGATTAAGAGAGGAGGGGAACACACTCAAATGCAGATGTAGAAAAGAAGCTTTTTTTTTTTTTTTTTTTTTTTTTTTTTTAACAAGCATCATAATAGTAAGATGCTTGGCTAGTTCTCACCTAATTACTGCAAGTTAAACCTCTATTTGCCACTAAGAAGAAAAAATAAGTCTACAGTCCCCTATCCACAAAACTGTTAGTTGGCTTCAGATATAATACTTGAGGAGGGATGAGAGGCGTTCAGGAGAAAAATATCAAGGCAAAAGGTTTTTAAATAAAATTGAGCTACACTTAATCAGTTAAGGATTTTTTGGCTGGGGCCTATGGTAGAACAGAATCAAACCTGAATAGCCCAGGAATTAGGCATTTTTATTCTTAATTTCTCATCTTGCTCTAAAGTGTGCCGCTTTTTGTGCCCACTCTTCAGATTAAGCACTTCCAATTGTCATAAATTGTGCCAATGGCAACATTTTAAATGTGGGAATCTGGAGCACCCTCTTCCAAGTCTTATTTTGATTCCCTAGTAGTCAATGGTGTGTTGTTATGAGTACTGGAGCCGTCTGTTTTAAACTAAAAACAGTACTGTTTCTATCATCTATTGTGATTGTTATAGTTATTATTATATTTAGGTGCCGGAGATAGTGCTGCATTGAAATAGAGTGGCCGGTGATCTGATTTTTTTAATGCATATGTTCTAAAAAAAAAAAAAAAAAAAAGTCTAATGAGAAAATTATTTCTGCTATCACCATCTTCCTTAATCTTACTTTCATAGCACATTATTATGCATAAACACCAGCCACAGTTAGTTCATTGCCTTGATAAGTATTGGAGGCTTAATTAAAATAAAGCTGTAAATAAATGCAACCAATGATAACACAATTGTACTGTATTTCCATGGCTTATTTATATGATAAAAACAATTAGCAAAAGACCTAGACATCCCCTTTAACCTCTTAAATGAATTATTATAGAATTAAGACACAAACACATGCATCTGAGAATGTATTAAAGCTTTTACATATTATCCCAAGGAAAAAAATTGTAACACTACCGAGAGAGAGAGAGAGAGAGAGAGAGAGAGAGAGAGAGAGAGAGATTAAAAACATTTGCTTCTATAACCATCTGTTATTAATATTTATTTTAATATACATACACCACCAATACCCACGCCACTTCTTGGTTTTGTCTTCAAACTTAATTAGCCATAAGCTCTTCCCCGCTAGTTTTTGGAATAATGCTACTAAGCACAGACCAGCACATACACAATCATAAGATGAATGCTTGTTTTGCCCTTCGTGGTGTCTGGACAATCATAATTCATTCATATGTTGAATCTCATAATTTGTACCTCATTTTTCCATGGTTTAACCTCCCACTTGTCTCGAGGTTATATATGTACGTTTCTAAGTTAAGCAAATTAAATATGACTCTTATAATTTGGTTCCATAGCTTATATGATATGTTAACTTCTCTTTTGTTTAAATTACATGTAATTAATTTGATCTTCCTCCCATCCCCCCTCCTTTTTTTTTTTTCTTCTTTATTTCCAAACACCTTTTAAAGGTAAAAGCCATAGTCTTGGGAAAGCGAATCCACCAGTAGGGGGCGCACCAGCCACATCCCAGAAACGGAGACGCACTGAAAAGCCAGTCTCCAGATCCAGGCAACCTTTTCTCTTTCCTAGCCTTCGTGTCCGAGATTAGCTTACTATTATACCTCGAATAAACAGAAGACATTGTTTTATTTTGATGAGTGGCATATTTATGCGTTTCGAGAAGCCTGTTTCTTCCTTCCCAGGTTCCCAGGAACTAAAAGAAAACAAACCATAACTTAAAGAGGAAAAGGAGAGCTACCGGAGGGGGGTGGGAGTAGGGGTTGACTGGAAATGATAATTTAAGACAAAGTCTACTGCAGAATTCTGTTTCTCAACTTTTCTGCGTCTCCAGTGAGCGAGCATGCTTATCTTGAGTCCACCAAGAGCAGAAAAGCTTGGGAGGGCAGCGATTGAAGGCGTTAGGCTGCGGGTAATGATGGTTTAGGGGAAGGTTAGTGAGGCACAAAAACAATGCAAAGTTTTGTAAGGATAATAAATGGAACGTGGCCGACAGATACTATTCAGTACGTTTTCTTAGGGTGCGTAAGGGGGGGCCAGGGGACTGAGGGGGCGGAGAGGGTGTTACAGAAGAAAGAACATAAGTAACCCCGATGGTTTAAGCCCTTTCTTAAAAAGAAATGGCATCAGGGATTTTTTTTCTCCTCCCCCTCCCTCCCCCCCCCCCCCCACCCTTTGTAGTCAAGTGCATTTTAGCCACAAAGATTCCAACAAGAGAGTGGAAGGAAACTTAGACGGGGCTTTGTTTGGCTCCGTGTAGCGACAAGAGAAACAAAACTACCTATTTGTAACGGACGTGCTGCCATTGCTCTCCGCATTGAGCGCCTACCTATTGAAATCTTTACGTCGGGACAATGGGAGCGCGGCTAAAATTACCCTCTTGGGTCCTGGGCGGGCAGGATTGGTGAGCCCCAACCCCCGCCCTCCTCATCCCCTCGGATCCCAGCCCCTGGCCTTTGCTGGGCTCCCCCTTTCCCCTAGACCTGGCAGCCCTCGTCCTGCGCGCACTGCCTTGCACCTGTGCCTGGCGAGCACCACCCGGCCTCCCAGACCTAGACCTCACCACCACCACCCCCCACCCCCCCAGCTCAGCCTGCAGACCCGGGCGCACCGTCGGGGCAATGCAATCAACTTGGGGGTGGGAATGCCAGGGCTGGTTCTGCTCGCGTCCTGGAAACTCAGCGTGGGAGGAGGGAGTTGGTGTGTGCGGGCCCCAATGCCACCTCCACAGAGCCGCCGTGGCACGCCGGGAAGCGGAGCTAACGCTCCCCATCGCCTGCACTTCTGAGCGTCCTTCGGCTCGGCGCTTTCATCCCCGGCCTCCTTTTGAAAGCGCCACAACGAAAATCCTCCTCTGGGGGCGGCCCAGCGGGAGGATGGGGAGATAGAGAGAGTGAGCACCCCCTTTGCACCGGCTGAATGGAGCGAGGCTGTGGGAGCTGTGGCTGGGGGGGAAGCTGACAAGCTGAGCTGAGCTAAGCTGGGCTGGGCTGGGCAGGGCAGGACCGAGTGTGGTCGCGGCAGCTACCCCAGGGCCTGGCCCAGCCTCAGCTCCGCACTCACTCTCCCTCCTTGTCCCAGAGCAGGACTGGTTTGTTTGTTTGTTTGTTTGTTTGTTTGTTTGTTTTAAGAGAGCAAAGTGCGTGGAAGCTATTAGGAGGTTTTTGAGGACAGAGCTTTCCACCTCCTAACTTCTTCTGGTCGGGACAGTGTGAGGACGGGGGTGAGCGAGTGCGGGCCACTGTGGAGAAAAGGGGGGGCGGGCATGGGAGAAGCGCTGGAGGGGCTGGAGGTTTTTTTTTGGGGGGGGGAGAAGCCTGCGGAGGAGCGGGAGAACAATCACACACCCACTCCGGCGCTGCCCGTTTCCTGAAACACTAGTAGGGGATAGTCGCCCTGAGCCACCCACTCGGCCCTGCCCCAACCCCCACCCCACACACCTTAGTGGCTTCTCGCGCCCCTTCCCCAGCTCATCAGCCCGCCTGCACCCAAAATCAGTACATCAGCCCTAAGTGTAAAGGGGGGAAAAGAAAAGGAAAAAAAGAAAATCTGTCTTGGTGCTGTTTACCCACTTTCTTCGAAAAGGCGTGTGGGGTGACCTGTTGCTGCGAGAGGGGATACAAAGGTTTCTCAGTGGCTTCCGGGCTGGCTGTGGGAGCCGCTACCCCCTTCTTCCCTCCCCTCCCTCCCCTCCCTCCCGCTCCCTCCCGCTCCCTCCCCTCCCTCCACCCCCCGCCTCCCCCGCGGCCCGCGGCGCCGCAGGCCCCGCCCCCTTTCATGCAAAACCCGGCGGCGAGGCCGCGCTCGAGTGGAGGAGCCGGCGCGCGCTGATTGGCCGCCGGGAACCCATTTATTCCCTGACAGCCCCCATCACATGGACGGTTGTCTATTAACTTGTTCAAAAAAGTATCAGGAGTTGTCAAGGCGGAGAAGAGAGTGTTTGCAAAAAGGGGGGAAAGTAGTTTGCTGCCTCTTTAAGAACCGGGAGGACTGAGAGAAAGAAGAAGAGGAGCTGAGGAGAGAAGAGAAAGAAAGGGAGAGGAGAAGAAGTTTGAGCCCCAGGCTTAAGCCTTTCCAAAAAAAAAATAATAATAATAATAACAATCATCCTCGGCGGCGGCGGCGGCGGCGGCGGCGGCAGGATCGGCCAAGAAGAGGAGGGAAGCGCTTCTTTTTTTTTTTTTTTTTTTTTCCTTCTTGATCCCGATTTCCAGTTTGCCTCTCTCTTGCTCTCTCTCTCTCTCTCTCTCTTTTTCTTTCCCTCAAATTATTCTTCCATCTGACTTTTTTTGCTTGCGGAGCTTTGCTGCGCTCTCGACACCCCCGCCCGCCGCCTCCCTTCCTCTCCTCCCCCGCCCGCCCGCCCGCGGGCCCCCAGAGTCCCGGCCGGGCCAAGCGAGGGTCGGCGGCCGCCGGCGGGCCGGGCCCGCGCACAGCGCCCGCATGTACAACATGATGGAGACGGAGCTCAAGCCGCCGGGCCCGCAGCAAACTTCGGGGGGCGGCGGCGGCGGCGGCGGCGGCGGCGGCAACTCCACCTCGGCGGCGGCGGCGGCGGCGGCGGGCGGCAACCAGAAGAACAGCCCGGACCGCGTCAAGCGGCCCATGAACGCCTTCATGGTGTGGTCCCGCGGGCAGCGGCGCAAGATGGCCCAGGAGAACCCCAAGATGCACAACTCGGAGATCAGCAAGCGCCTGGGCGCCGAGTGGAAACTCTTGTCGGAGACGGAGAAGCGGCCGTTCATCGACGAGGCCAAGCGGCTGCGGGCGCTGCACATGAAGGAGCACCCGGATTATAAATACCGGCCGCGGCGGAAAACCAAGACGCTGCTGAAGAAGGATAAGTACACGCTGCCCGGCGGGCTGCTGGCCCCCGGCGGCAACGGCATGGCGAGCGGGGTCGGGGTGGGCGCCGCCGGCCTGGGCGCGGGCGTGAGCCAGCGCATGGACAGCTACGCGCACATGAACGGCTGGAGCAACGGCAGCTACGGCATGATGCAGGACCAGCTGGGCTACCCGCAGCACCCGGGCCTCAACGCGCACGGCGCGGCGGCGGCGGCGGCGGCGGCGCAGATGCAGCCCATGCACCGCTACGACGTAAGCGCCCTGCAGTACAACTCCATGACCAGCTCGCAGACCTACATGAACGGCTCGCCCACCTACAGCATGTCCTACTCGCAGCAGGGCACCCCGAGCATGGCGGCGCTGGGCTCCATGGGCTCGGTGGTCAAGTCCGAGGCCAGCTCCAGCCCCCCCGTGGTTACCTCGTCCTCCCACTCCAGGGCGCCCTGCCAGGCCGGGGACCTCCGGGACATGATCAGCATGTACCTCCCCGGCGCCGAGGTGCCGGAGCCCGCCGCCCCCAGCAGACTGCACATGTCCCAGCACTACCAGAGCGGCCCGGTGCCCGGCACGGCCATCAACGGCACACTGCCCCTCTCGCACATGTGAGGGGTCGTTCGTACCCGTGGACTGCAAAAGAGGGGATTTTTGGTTTTTGGTTTTTTCTTTCAAAGCAAAACGAGAGGGGGCGGAAACAGCGAGGAGAGGACGAAGCAGCGTGGAGGGGGGGGGGGGGGGAAACACACAATCCGGTATGCTCAAAACAAAACACGCAAAAAAGTGATCACTCACCCACAGCATATGACATCTGTCTGCAAAAGGGAACACCGATCCCATCTACACTCACACACATTCACACACACACAAAGCCGCGATGCCGACAAGAAAACTTTTATGAGAGATCCTGGACTTCTTTTGGGGGGACTATTTTTGTACAGAGAAAACCGGAGGGGCGGGGTGGGGAGGGCGAGGGGATGGACCTTGTATAGATCTGGAGGAAAGAAAAAAAAAAACTACGCAAAACTTTTAAAAAGTTCTAGAGATACGGTAGGAGCTTTGCAGAAAGTTTGCAAAAGTCTTTACCAGTAATATTTAGAGCTAGTTTCCGAGCGACGAGGGGAAAAAATGTTTTAATATTTGCAAGCAACTTTTGTACAGTATTTATCGAGATAAACATGGCAATCAAAATGTCCATTGTTTATAAGCTGAGAATTTGCCAAAATTTTTCAAGGAGAGGCTTCTTGCTGAATTTTGATTCTGCAGCTGAAATTTAGGGCAGTTGCAGCCGTGAAAAGAAGAGAACTATTCAGATTTGGACATTTTAATTGTTTAAAAATTGTACAAAAGGAAAAAAAACCACACTATGTACTGGTAAAACTATCTCCGTGGTCTTTAAAGGGGAAAAAAAAAGTTTTAGATTGTACTAAATTTTTTTTAACTTACTGTTAAAAGCAAAAATGGCCATGAAGGTTGACATCATTGGTAATTTATAATAGCGTTTGTTTCCCAACTTTCCATTTTGTTCAGATTTAAAAAAAAAAAAGAAATTACTGTGTTTGAAATATTTTCTTATGGTTTGTAATATTTCTGTAAATTTATTGTGATATTTTAAGGTTTCTTCCCTCCTCCCCCTTTATTTTCCGTAGTTGTATTTTAAAGATTCGGCTCTGTATTATTTGAATCAGTCTGCCGAGAATCCATGTATATATTTGAACTAATACCATCCTTATAACAGGTACATTTTCAACTTAAGTTTTTACTCCATTATGCACAGTTTGAGATAAATAAATTTTTGAAATATGGACACTGAAATTATTCTTGAGTCTTTCATTTATTTGGTTAACACTGCTCAGACATAACTCCTCAGGAAATAATATTATGCTGTGCACAGCCAAGAAAGCAAAATAACTAAGACCTTGGTATTCTGTCCCAGTAGCATGTGCTAATGTTAACAGCAACAAATATGTGTCTGGATGATTAGTAAATAACTGGAAAAAATTAAAATGCTCTTGTCATTTCTAAAATAGAAACTAAAGATTGTAAATTCACCCCCCCCCCTCCTTTTTCTAAGCAGCATGATGGGGACTTAAACTGATTTGTGCCACTTGTTGCCTGATAGGAGTCCATTCTGAAATTTTTCGTGTAGTTTAGCAGATGGGGTATTGAGCCAAATCGGGACCAAGTTGGCTGGTTTTGTTTTCGTTTTCTTCACAGTACAATGGCCTTTTGGAAATGTGGTTACAGGGGGAAATGCTTCTTGTGTTGGAATAATTGCAAACTAGACATGCAAAGTGCTCATCTGCTGGGTGGTGGGTGTTTGGATGACTCCAGCCCTGCTATTGTCTGAAAGGAAACAAGTGGTTTGCTTTCTTTGTTCCTTGACTTCATAAACTTTCTCCTCTACGTTTTCCTGTTTAGGGGTGAGAGAAAGCGAAGAGCGTCTCGCAAAAACGCCTGACTTGCCACGGCTGCTATTATTATTATTATTATTTATTTTATTTTTTTTCCTTTCTCCCCCTCCACGAATTCCATTTCTTAAATTGGCTGCGCGGGTCCAAGCCTGTAGCCCCAAATCGGATAATCTCTGCAGCTGATAACAAGCAAAAGAGAAGCCAGGCAACAGACATAATAAAGAAGAAAACAACTCGGAGGTAGATATTTTAACTTGTCCGATCTAATCACATGTGGAGATTATTATGCTTTTGATCTGTTAACCATGTTTTACTACTAGTAATAGGGAGGGAGGGGGAGGGGAAAGGGGTGGAGAAACAAGATTGGATTTGTTGTTTTCTTTTGCCCTAGGAAAGGTTAAAGAAAGCCTATAGTTGTCCTCAGTGGGAGCGGAGAAGTCGGGGAGTCGCTATGGTCTTTGCCTTCGCGATGTTTCTGCATCACAACCGACTCGCGCTTTGGCGCTGCCGGAGAATCAATCCTGTAAGAGCGACTCCGGCGGATTTTTCTTCTTTATTTACTACTTAACCTCGCTCAGCTTTCCCCGCCGAAGGAGACCAGGAACCGAGAGTCAGGCAGGCATTCTTAAAAGCGTGGTTTTGCTTCCCACAGTTTCCAATGGGTGTGTGTGTGTGTGTGTGTATGTGTGTGTGTGTGTGTGTGAGAGAGAGAACTTGTTACAACTTTGGAGAAGTTGAAATCCGGCATCGCCTTCCAGCCTTGAGTCTCAAGTACCGGCTGCAGCCACGCAGTTAGCTCATCCGGGTGGTTTGCATCTTCTCGTTTTCCAAGAAAAGTCTTTCTTACTCGTGCTGTTGTTCATGGTTAGTTCTGGGTTCAGCTGAGGCTATCTTTTTTTATTTTCTGTATTTTTATCTCATGTGGATTGCTTTATTTTCAGGACATACTGGTTTTTATTTATTCCTTCCTTATCCTCATTTTTTTTTAAGGATAATATTGTACTGGGAAAGGAAAATTATTATGCCCATTCCCAATTCCAATTCCAAGCCAGGTATCTTCTCCCCCCCTCCCCCCCCCCTTCATTAATGCAGAGACTCTGAAAGAATTTCCCCAGCCAGGCCAGCCATTGTAATGCATATATGGATTATTCACGTGGTAATGAGCACTTTCGACAGTTCTTGCTCACACGTTGGAATAAAAGAAACTTTGAATAAAGATCCCAATGATCTGGCTCTGGGGGGCTGGGGAGGATATTCCCGGAATTTGAGCCAATCGACTATCTAAAGTGTATATACTGGAAAAATAGAGATATATTACAAATACGTATTGGGGTTTAGAGTAATTGTACTGCGTTAACCTCTTTAAAAAAAAAAAAAAAAAAAAGAGAGAGCCCACAGAAGCAGACTAAAAAGAGCAACAACTTTTTGGCAAAAATTCTGAGGTTCAAATATTTTGCAAGAGGGAAGAAAGCAATGGCTGGGGAAGTTAAACTAGTTTTGAATGGTTGCCACTGTCTGCATAAAACAAGAGAGCTCCCATTCTCCCATCCCTCCACAGTCCTTAACCAAATAAAAGCCAAAATATATTATTTGTAAATATAAATTATTTTGTCAAACTGCACTTAAGGAAAACGATTCACATTGCATCGTTCATTTGATTGGGTTAACTCATTCTCCAAGATGTGTAGTTTCCTGGCTAGATTACTATGCAACATATACTATTTTAATTATAACGTGATTCCCAAGAAGGGGGTCAACCCTTCAACTTGCCCAGAAGTGGCCATTTCCTGATGCTGAAGTTGTTCAGTGCCTTCCTTGGGGTATTATTCTGCTCACTAAAACCATTTAATTTTCAGTCGAAGGGGGTGCATTTAATGTTTTGTTAACCTATACACCGAATGGAAATGGGCAGAAGGATGAGATTATAGTGTGCTCCCCTGCCATGTGTCCTCTGGCCCCCAGCCCTCCCTCCATACTTTAAATAAAGAGCGTTAAAATATTTTTGCTGAGCTGTAGTAGATTAGCAAGGTTTCTTGCCAATGCTGGGAAGCTGGTATTACAGACGGTCCCAGGGGGAAATGGCTCACATTAACCACTAAATGAATATTTGACAAGGGCTCATTCGGAGGTATTATTACTATAAACGTGTCCCTACTGGACTTTTTCAAGGGTCAAAGAGCAACGCTTCAATTAATTATTTAGTCTGCTAGTAGATTTGGTTGTAATAGCTGTACTTATTCCTAGAACCAACACATTCTTACGGTGGGAAATCTCAGGAGGATCTCCTCCATCAGCAATGCCTTGAATTGAAATACACCCAGAGCCCTGGTATTCTGTAGCTGACTTTTTCATAAATCCTTTTCTTGGGCTGGAGAGTGGGGGGATAGTCTCTTTTGCTATTTCATTTACTGTTTGGGGTTTAGAAAAAAGGAGGGGGGGCAGAGAACACAAGTTATCTTAATTTCTACATGCCTGGCCAGGGCTTTTAGGGCCTTGCAATTTGTGACGGGAGGGGAGGGGCTTTATTTATAAACTTTGCCTTTTGTAAGTAGCTATGTCACAGGATTTCAGACTCAAGGCAGGGTGTGGATTTAGAAAGGGGGCGCATTACTGTTGACCAATACAATTTGGGTTTTTAAATGGAAGCTGAGTGCTCTGAGATCTAGTCGCCTCAAAGTAAATTGGGGTACTAGCTAGTCCCTCCTCCTTTCCTTCCCACCTATTGGTCTGAACACTTCCAGGTGTAGTGGGGGCGGGGAGAAAGAGGGGGGTGGTGACTGTTCTATTCCTGCGTGTCCTCCAGGGCCCTAGGTTAAATGGTAGGGGAATGATTCTGAGAGTAAGATTCCTTAACAATACTATAAGGTGAATGACTAAGAGATAAGCTGCAAGTGGGGGGGGTGGGTGGAGGGGGGAGATGGGATGCAGTAGTTACAAACCCAATTCATTCAGCTTTTCAGAACTTTTGTTGTGGGAGCTCCATTGATGGGATTTAAGCTGCCAGTTTTCTCACATTAAACAGAACTGATCAGTGCCTCCGGGGGACAAGAACTACCGTTTAACTGCATGGTGATGGGGTCTTCATTCAGAACCATTACAAGGAGAAAATTAAACAGCGCCTTTGTGCGCACGAGGTTTACTTTCCAACTGCTAGCAGTCTATAGCTAACTGCTCTGAGATTGAAGTTTGACTGTGGTTTGTCACCTACTAGTTGGCACTGCTTGTTTATTGTTTGTTGTCATGAAAAGAGCTTTTTCTATCTCTGCCCTCTTTCTCTCCGAGCCCCCCTCCCTCCCTTATTTCTTGCTCTTGGAGAACTTTTCAGAACAGGACCTCATATTTGGCTTTGTGGAAACATTTTCCTTTGCCATGAGCCTTAGCAAAGACTTGGGTTAAGCTTCTCCAGGACTCCTCTCACCCCACCCCCATTAGTGCCTTTAAATATTTTGCATCTCACTGTGTGTTATGCTGACTTTTTTTTTTTTTCTTTCAAAACAAAAGCTGCTTTTTAGGATGGCACTAGTGAGGTTTGGGATGGGGGTTGATTTCTTTCTTTTCTTTTTTGACTAAAGTTGGAAGATGACTGGATGGATTTCCTTTGGGACCTCATCTATGAGGTGGATCCCTAAAAAAAAAAAAAAAAAAAGCAGGAGAAGGGGAAAAATTCTTGACCTTTCCTGTGGAAAATGTGACTGAAGTTTAAAGGGACACAGCCTCGGAGTGCTAGAGTAAGCAGCTATGCAAGGAACTTTCCCAATATTGAGAAATCGCCCAAGCCAGAGAATTGGCTTGGCATCTTTCATAGTTATTTTCTATTAAAAAAAACTTTCCTGGAAACATGACCTCTGGTATCACCCAGGGAGACTTACAACCTCTCCTCCTTCTCACGATGCTGTCCAGTTTTACAGTGCTTGTTTTCAGTTTTTTGTTTTGCTTCCTGAGGCCTTTAGGAAATAATGGACTTGACTTTCTTATTTGGACGAGGAGACTTCTCTTTGGAAGGCTGGGTTATTAAGACAGGGCCACGGCTTCCCAGGGCAGAGTTCTCTTTCTGAACGCAGGTCTAGATGGATTTTATTTTTGGTGTGCTGTTTTTGGTGTGATTATTTTTTTATTTTTTTGGATTCCTTGAACAGTGTACCCCCTTTCTCTTCAAAAGCAAATAGAAGGCCCTTTCCTTTCAGGACGCAAATTTGTCTTGCTGCTTTGGGACTTTGGGACACTTTGGGTACTTTGCAAAGAGGTGTCAGTTGGTTTAAAAGCTCCCAGGAGGCCTTCGTGCCATTGCTCTCGCCTGCCTGCATGTACAGAATGAAATGTGCAGTGTTAGTAACGATTTCGGTTCTCCGGCCTATCGCTTGCCTCCTTCCCTTGGGCTTGGGTGCTGGGCTCAGGACCGTG